CTAATAAAAGGATTATAATATGTACCTCTCGTCTCGTATGTATGTAAACAAACTTTCCACCTCTTCATTTGGAATCCGGTTACATATCAAAACTATGTCTTGCCCAATTTGACTCAAGTAGTCTGTATTTGTGTTGATATCTTGCACGCATGATGACCGAAACTATTTGTAGAACTAAACTGATTCTAAATGTGAAAAATAAAATCAACACTTGAATGCTCTTTGTATAGACAATCAGGGTTTCAAAGCATCCACTGGATTTATTGCTAAATCCACTGCATTTTCTATTGATGTCTAGCATCAACTGAGTTTTACACTCTTTAAACCTCAAAAGAATCTCGGACTTAGCTTGAAATCTTGAAACTCATAATTCAGGAGAGAAGTTTTCCATTTCATCTTGCACATTTTGAGCGTCACTTTTACATTATTTTGCTCACTGCTTTGCTTTCTCAGACACCCATTTCAGCTGTTGAATTATTTGCCTTACACGAAGCTTCTTTTATTCAATCTCCACTCTCATGATTGTTTTTATAAAAAAATAGAGAAAAAAGGTTTCACTTATGTATTTTTTAGAACTCAATTACTGAATGCCTTGGAATGAATATATTTATACCATTAGACATATTTAAGCTAGTAGTGTTAAAATAGATAAGTTTATTTGCTTTGAATTTTGATTGAACGAGAATACTTGTATTCATTCGATGGTGGAGTAATTATGCATGTTTTTTGTTTTAGTATAATAGGTATTGGTTTCGATAAATTTTAATTATTCAACTAAGTTTCTTACACTTTTGTTGTTTCTTTTCAGAGGATTACTTAAAGTCATTGGAAGCTGAGAATAGTTGATGGCGAAATCGGTGGAAGAAGAGTATAGTTGGTACTAAGTTTCACACTAAACTTGTAGGAATGAGGTTCAAAACATTTTGAAATGTTTTTATATGGTATTTTATTTTTAGTAGATGGTATGTCTCAAAAATATATGATTGTTGAAATTTATGAATAATTTGGTTAAATGAAATTATACTTTTCGCCCGCGACAAAAAATCTATTTCTTAGTAGTGATATCGGACCATTCTTCAAACTTGAAAAATCAAACAGACCCTAGATATATCTTTCATGTGATGTGGTTAAATTTATAGAATGTGGTTTGATTAACTTTGCATAATCTGCATCAACTCGGAATCTTAGGCTGTAACACTACTAACACACCACAGAAACATACTAAAGAATAAATGTGAAGAATATATGGAGACAAAAAGATTAATCGACACCAAACCCCAACAGTACAACCAGTTGATTGAATTCTATATGGGGTGATTAACTTGTGATCAATTGCATCAGGTCTTCCCATAAGTTGCATTTCATGACTCATTTCCACACAGTTTATTAGTCTTCTAGCAAATTTAAGAGATGGCAAACATACAACTGCATGCATGGACTTATATATAGTCCATTTTGAAAGCTTTATTGGTGAGATATTTAATCAAAATTTTCCAAATACATAAAGACAGGAAGGTATCAATCTCAATCACTTACTCAGCTATACTAATTCAAACACAAGAGTGTCAGTTACTTATTAGTCTTAAAACAGTAGTGGATGCACCTGGAATTTAAGTGCTTCAGTTTCCAGTCCAATTCAGTGACAGAATATGCATGCTACCATCTCTGTGTCAAAGAGTCTTAGTGCAACCAAGTGAACCTAGCAGTTTGATGGAGGCGCGTGCACCATCTTGTAATTCACCTAATGACATTATCACCTATGATCTTCTTTTGTAACTTAGCAGCTAGGAACCATTCTATCTTAGCTTGGGGTTGCACCAATATAGTGGAGCAGGATGATCATTGTGATCAATATATAATATCGTTCGATTCACTAATTCAACATGTAAGGGAAGGATTATTGTTCCAATGGTTAATTAGGTTCCCTGAAATGTTTTCCAAGTGGTATATGGTTTGGTGGAGTTAATGAGATAGATGTACTGGGCCATGAATGATGTGGAGGGTTGTATAGCTAGCAATGGAGTACACGTAAGTGGTAGGTATATGGGTCTAGAAGAACTCTATATAAGGGAGTGATTTGAAGCCTTGTGATCACATATTCATTTCATACTTCAATCTTCAAAGATGGCTTCATCTCGTGTTGCCCTGCTTCTGTGTGTTCTACTTCCTTTGTTCACTTCCAGCAGTAGCTTCACATTAGCTACTTCTTATGAGAAAGTGAAACTTGATCTGTATTATGAAACTCTGTGTCCTAGTTGTTCTATTTTCATGACTAAGTATCTGGTAAAAATCTTTGAGAATGGACTCATCGATATCATTGATCTGCATTTGGTTCCTTATGGCAATGCCAAACTTGTAAAACACGGTGACAACACAGCCATCATTTGCCAGGTATTTAATCTCCTTCTTTTCTTCGCAATGTCTTACAGAATTTGGAAGTTGTAAATGTCAAAGCTGCCTCTCATGGAACAATTTTCTATTTATTATGGCAGCATGATGAACCTGAGTGCAAACTGAATATCGCCCATGCATGTGCAATTTATGCAAGGCCAGATGTGGTAAATGCCATTTTTTATGATTCGGCTTTGATCAATTGTTGTTATCTTTCTCTTACTATTCAATCTTGAAAACTTGCAGTAATTAACTATATGTAATCTGCTGCAGAATAAGCATTTCGAGTTCCTGCATTGTATTGAGGACCTAGTAGTGAAGAACAAATACGAGATGCCGGAATGGGAATCTTGTTTTGGGAAAACAGTAGGGATCGATCGAAAGATAGTTATGGATTGTTATCATGGCCCAAAGGGTTTAGAGGTTTGCTATTTTCTCTTACTGCATTTTCTGCTAGAGCAACTAAAGCTGCAAAGGACTTCGATATTTTCCTTTCTTTGTTTATAATTTGACATATTTTTGTGTACAGCTTGCATTAAAATATGCCAATGAAACCAACAGTCTTAAGCCTCCTCACGAATATGTACCTTGGGTAGTTGTAGATGGAGAACCACTCAGAGAGGTTAGTCTATCTTTATATCTTCGATCGTATTTGATGTGCCCATATAAGATTGTCGTTAAATTCTGACAATTCATTTGTTGTTGCAGCATTTCGATGAGTTTATGACCTATGTCTGCAATGCTTACAAAGGCAGTCATCTGCCGAAAGCTTGTGAGAATCATCTGAATCGTCAGGTTGTCTCCAATGTGAAAGAAAACAAAGTCTGTAATGTAGCCAGCAACACTTTCTCCAGGGCCAAAATGCCACAAGTATCTAAATGGACGCACCAGATGAAGATGCCAACTAAGCATTGAGAGTCTTTCCTCGTATGATCTACTACCAATACTGTTATCATGACTTTTTCTTATAATATGTCAGAGAAAAAACTGATGTAATTAAATAAAACGATGGTTGATAGTTAATGAAATCTTATTTTGAGTTATCGATCAGAATATATTCTCCTAATCTCCTACACTTTCTTACCAACCTCAAGAACTGGACACAAATGACTAATTATGATCATCAGTACGTGATACTGCTTACAGTTGATTTAGCGAAGAATCCCTCCTCTGTTGCAAACTTTCTGTAATTCTTAATGGTGTAACTACTTGTGATCCCAACTTTTGTACATGAAAAACTTTTTCAGGTAGAACTTGTCGTAGAAAGTTATGTGCATTGGATCAAAATGAAACTTACCTCAAGATTGTAAACAGAAGAACTATATTATGCTTAGCTCAAGTGAAACTTACCTCAACATTCAACAAGCCCTGGTTCCTCTAGCTAGAGATTGTATTATGCTTCAACACAGCATGTCTGTTGTGCAGGCCGGTGTTAAAATTTAGATGTGGTCATGTCAGAAACTAGTCGAACTTCCTGCCAAAGTTAGTTACTAGATAGGGGTGCCTTGAAGTTTCTTAATTGGAAATGTTACGGATCCAGATATTGTTATGTGCACGACGCCATGACACTTGTTTGTGAAGAAACATTCATTCCTGGAAATACAGAGTTGTTACTAGTGAAACAGAATATTTGGCTCAGTCCGATGTGCAGGAGTAAAAATGTAGATGCGGTGGTCATGTCAGAAACAAGTCTTGCGGCCAACTAGATTGATGAGGGTGCCTTGCAATTGCACCCTTAATTAGAAATACGAATGTATGGATCCAGATTCCAGATTGCATCAGTTGATGAACATAGCTCATTTGTCTGACGATTCATATGTGATTCTGTGAATCAACCATTCAGAGTGTGTGGAAGTGAAACCACATCTGCAAATATGACCGACGATAAAGAAAATACATTACAGTTGAAAGATGAAAATCTAATTGATGCATGATATTAACATGTATGACTAATGACTTGCTGCAAAGCAAACAAAGACACATTGATTCATGAAAATACAGTAGAGAGTTTTATAGAACTTACAAATGAAAAATGGTGTTATATATATAATCCCACATTAGTTGTGAGACAAAAAACTATGTTTCAGCATTCTTATTTAAACTCATCTGTAAAATGTTTGAAGGCACGCAGCCGTGTGGTGAACACAGAGCGAACTATTCTTTCGCCTTTTACTAAAGAATACCGTGTGTTCGCCACTCATAACGGCATACGCCTACACTTTTACAAAAAGACTTTGGTCAAACTTGGAAGATTATGTAGAAATTTCTATCTAATCTCCAACTTGAAGATTATGTTGAAATTACAACAAATCAGTTTAAACGTAACCATTTACAAAACTGAACTGTCAAATGAGCAACAAGTAGCAGAGAACAAAGAAAGATGCTGCCAGGAATGGTTTTGTTTTTAGATTTTACTTTCCTTTCAATTTGAGTTTGCACAGAAGTGCAGAGGTTATCCTAATTGTAGTATTACCAAGGAACACAGTAAGGAGACTGGCAGAATATATAACAAAGCAAACTAGACTGTTTAGTTCTAGTGTTTTTCAATAATTGACAAAAGTAAACTGGAGCCATTAAAAATAAAGCATAAAGCTGATAACAAAAGATTGCCATGTCTTCATTAACAAAATCATAAGATGCAAACATGATAATCAATCAGAGGAAAAGCAAACATTACTGCATCAGATGCATAAATCATAGCAAGTCAAATGTAGAAAATGTAAAAGTTAACCAATAAGTTCATTTTCGGGAAGTTTTAGACATACATCCAAAATGCTTTCAACATTCATCAACAAATAATAGATGGAAATGTATAAACAACAATTTTTCATTGTTCATACACGACAGAGTATAAACCACATGAATGACTACGATGGAAAACACAAGTAGGAATCGAACAAAAGCAGGGCAAAACAATATATAGTCAAACATTATAAATTTATAACATCCAAAATACAGCTCTCATCCCCTAGGCAAAGAAACCAAGTATACCAACTAAACCTACTTACAACACGACCCTCGATGAAATTCTATCAAATAAGAACACTTACTGTACCAGCCAAAGAAAGACATGAAACAACTTAACATCTGAATTTCGCTAAATGTCTTTAAAAGAAAAAAAATCAGAAAAGCAATTGAAATACTGTGTTTAATGATATCTACTGACACAGATTCCTAATCGTATGAATCTAACATCCACAAGCCACTAAATTTTGTCAAGAACTAGAAAAAGAAAGTTTCAAGTAATCTCCCTAACATTGAGAGTTGATGGAAGCTAAATTTTTTAACTACAACTAGTTAACTATCAGCCAGAACATTGATAGCTTCAAACTGAATTCAGGGATACAAACAAATTTTCTATCAGGAATCATTGACAAAATAAACCTAAAAACAATATTAGTTGGATAACATTTCCCAAGAAGATGCTAAACTGTGCTAATTCAAATTTCATCAATAAGCAATGTCAAAATTAATCAATTAGCTCATTTCAGAGATGCTTTTAACAAACATCTAAGATGCTTTCAACAATTCAACTTGCATCAACAAATAATAGATGGCAGCGTATAAACATACATGACAAGTAAACCACAAGAATGAAAGATGCAAAAGTAAAGTAAGAAAAGAACAAAATCCAAGCGAATACTTACGCAAGGGCAGAAGAATAAAAGGTCAGTAACATTATAACATCCAAAAGACAGCTCTCATCCCCTATGAAAGATACATTTTTTTCATTCATACATAACGAGTATAAACCACATGCATGACTAAGATGCAAAACACACAAGTAGGAAAACAACAAAAGCCAAGGTGCCGAGCAAGTACTTGTGCAGGGGCAGAAGAATAAAAAGTCAATAACATTATAACATCCAAAAGACAGCTCTCATCCACCAACCTAAACAAAAGATCAACCCCTTTCTCCGACACGGTTTGAATTATAGTACGAAACTAAACCACTTTGTAACATAGTAGATCAAAAAGACAAAAAGTTGAACTCCACCTACAATAACAATCTTTCCAGTTTACCAATTAGATTAGAGTATGAAATTCAAACCATTTCGACTCTCCAACTCTTATCTGCTATGTTACAAAGTTTTACCAAACATACATGTGTAACAGGCAATATATATCAAAACATACAACATATGATAGAAAAACAAGAGTTTGTTTAAAGGGGACCAAAACCACCACCAAAATTAGCGTTTGTCCTCACAGAAGTACCCAGCAAAATCCCAAAAACTACAGAAAAGAATAACTTTTGTACTTTTGCAAGTTGGCACACTACAACTAAACAACTTACAAACAAGACCCTCCATGAAATTCTATCAAATAAGAACAGTAATTGCACCAGTCAAAGAAAATATGAAACAGATTAACATCCAAATTTTGCTGAATCTCTTTAAACGAAGAAACCACAAAGTGATCTAAATACAATTTTTATTGATCATAATTGATATTGATTCCTACTCATACGAGTCTAACACCCAAAAGCGCCTAAATTGTGGCACAAACTAGACAAAGCAACTTTCAAATAATCACCCTAACAACGAGGGTTGGTGGTAGCTAAAAATTTCTACTACAACTAGTTTTCTACTTTTCTAACAACCAGGACATTGACGGCTTAAAACTGAAATTAGGGATACAAAACAATTTTTTTTATCAGGATCCACTAACAAAATAGACCTAAAAATGATATTAGTTGGATAACATTTCCTAAAAAGATGATAAATTGCCAAAAAATTAAGAAGTTATAATTTTTTTGGAAGACACAAGATTGTTTTTCATGAAGAGAACTGTTCAAATTCAGATTTCAGACTCAACAAGATAATAATAAATAAAAATCAAATAATACACCACATGTCGTAGTAGATTAGCAATTGTAGATTCATATAAGGATCGAAATTCAAGCAAAATAGCACAGAAACTAAACGGATATATGAAGTAATACCATATCCAAAGATCAAAAGAGTCTGATTCTCCATTCAAAAACTTAAATTCAACTCCAAAATTTAACATAAACTAAACAAAGTTTCCAATTGAAAATGTAGCAAAATACAAATTAGAACTGTTTTCCCTCATTTTTTCTAAAACATCATAACAAACCCTAGTTTGACAAAAACCTCAGAATCCAAGCTTAGTTCTGCGCCAGTGCCTACGCTTTGCATTGTACCTGAAACAATAACAACAAAACAACAACTCCATCAATCATAAAAACTATGCAAAAATGTTGAGAAATCAATCTATTTAGAGAAAACGAAATCATACCTGATGGTGTTATCAGTCCTCATACGAATCCAGTTAGGAATTGGCCTATTCTGCCTCATCTTCTTCGCGAGCTTCTTCTTGATGATGAAAGTCTTGTGCGATGGCTATACATCAAACACAAAACACCAAAAAATCAGAGATTAAAGAGAAATGAAGATGATGAATATCTCAAACAAATCGAAGAGAGAAAACCGATTCATTAATACTCTGTACTCACCATTGTTAGCTTGTAGCGCAGTTCGGGCACGAAGATTGTTTTGAGACGAAGCAACGGAAGACCTAATTCGGTTGAAACCCTAGCTAAAATTTATATAGTCGTAACGTTCTGCACGTGATTAACACATATTCCTTATTTTTGGGCTTTACCATTTTAATCGGGCCCTAACTTTTAACAGCCCAACCCAAACCAAACCAATCCGTTGTAGTTGCTGCGAGGGAATTTTTTATTTTTTCTGGAAAGATGAAGAAGAGATCTGTTATTGTAGTTTTAGACTTAGTTTTTATTATTCTTCTATGTTTTTCATCATTCTCGAGTTTTTCTCAATTAGAATCATTATTGAATACGATTGAGAAACCTTCTTCAACATGTTTTAAAGGTTTATAAAGGAGGTGCTCCAGTGGTTTTTCAATCACCTGAATGTTCTCATTGGAAGCTCTCAACAGGAAAAGTGGTAAATACAGTGAGTATTCCTTTCCATGGTTTGTAAATGGAAAACTGTCAACAACAATCGTTTAAGCTTCAAGGTAGAAGAAAATATCAAGAAGATTGTTTTTTCTGGGCATTGGACTTGAAGATTCCTTTCCATGGTAATATTTTTTTTTTGTTTTTTTGCTTATTATTGAATTTATTTATTTTGGGTAATAAGGTTTTTAGTCTCATATTAGGGTTTTTGATTTTTAACAAAAAAATAGTGTTGGGTATTCGAACTGCAATTATAGTTAAGGGAATGGGGGAGCTTGATGATAAACCATTTCAGAAGTGATTTGGCATCTCTTCAGTCCTCACATTCTCCTTGTGGCTTCCATAGCTTGGTTTCCTGAATATTCTGCAGTTGAGGTTGCTGGATGGGAAAAGTGAATCTTGTGCATTTTAAGGTTTTGGTGGTACCCATTCTCACTGGACATAATTTTATTCAAATAATTGAATTGTGCA